CAGCGTAGGAGGCGGTCCAGACCAATCTTGGAGAAACGCTTTGCACTTCGTGGGTGCGAAGCATTTCCCGAAGTGACGGACAGCTAGTGCTAATCTGTCCAGTGCCGCTTGGCACGTCTGGGAACTGTCAGAGATTAAAACAATATCATCAGCATACTCTAAGTCAAGAAGTCGTTCTCCTGGGGTAGCACCACACCTTCTAAGTCGTGTCCTGTGAACGCGATTTCCATGACTTCGTTAATATCGAAGTTGAATAGAAAAGGTGACAGCGGACATCCTTGTCTCACACCGCTGGAGATATTTAATTGGGACGACAGCTTGAAGTAAGCCCACCCTCTGCCCGTGCTACGCGCATATAATGCTCGGATAATATTCACATATTTCTCAGGTACACCTTTCCTGAGTAGACAGTCCCAAGGTGCATGTCTATCCAGCGAATCGAAAGCACCTTTGATATCGAGTTATACGACAACGGTGGGCAGCCAGTATGTGTGACGGTGCTCCAACAACTGACGCAAAGTGTAGATGTGGTCAATGCAGACAAGACCTTGACGAAATCCGGCCTGCTCTTCACGAATCTGGCTTTCACGAATGCCAGTCAGTCTGTGAAGGATGGTAGAGGCAAGCAGTTTGGAGGCGATGGAGATCAGACTGATTCCTCCATAGCTGCCGCTTTCCGACCGTGAGCCTCCTTTGAAAATTGGGACTACGATGGAGCGGCTCCAATCGGTTGGGACAGTTTCCTGCTCCCACAGCTTCACTAGTATCTCTTGTAAATCATCCACAAGAGCAGGTCCCCCGAATTTGAAGAGCGTTGGAGGAAGATCATCTTGTCCCGCGGCTTTATTTATCTTCAACAGTTCGATCTCACGTTCGACTACTGAGCGAGAGGGTGGATCCATAGGAACAGCCCACGGAGCGGAGCGATCAGTGGCTGGCGAGAAATCTAACAATTCCGACCGACTGAATTGCCTTTCAAATGCTCAGCCCAACGATCCAAGCGTTTTGATAAGTTGTGGATAGGCTGTCCACTCTCGTCAAGTATAGTTTCACTAACACCAGGTCTCCTGCTGCCCGATTCCTGTATCAGACGGAATAACTCACGATGGCTACCAAGGGCAGCGGCCATTTCCATCTCTGATGCACGATTGGACCACCAGGATTCGCGGTCCCTCTTCAGGCTAGCACGGAGTTTTGCCCGGAGCTTTATGCAAGTTTCATTGTGTTCGCTTCCAGCCGGAATATGCCGGCGAGCGTCTATAAGTTCCAGAGATTGCGAAGAGTCCCAATGTCCAAGTTGGCGATTAGACATACCACATGAGGATTTTCCTGCTGCAAGTAAGGCCTGGTGAAAATGAGACGAGTGAGCTTCAGTTGCATCCAGTGAGCGTTTATCCAACTCCCATGACATCGTACTTTGATAGGCATTCAGAACAGCTGGTTTCGCCAGTCTGCCGGTGTCAATGCGCTCACAACATCGTCGCGGGCGTCAGCCAAAGCGCATCCGCATGTCAGCACAAACAAGTGCATGGTCGGTGTCCACACATGTGCTCCAAATCGAGCGACAGTTGTGGACGCAGCCTCTCCAGCGGTAACTGATTGCAATGTGATCGATTTGCGTCTAAGGCTGGTTCGAGGCTGGTGGGCGCCAAGTCACCCTCAGGCGGGTGCTGCGTCGGAAATTACTGCTCGCAAGAAATAAGCGAGCATCCTCACACAAATGAAGTAACCGCTCACCGATATCATTACGGGAGCCTACACCATGTTGGCCGCTCAGATGCAGCTCATCTGTGGACAATTTGCAAACATGAGCGTTCAGATCCCCGGCCAGCACTACAGTGTTCGAGCTTCTTCTGTGGCGGAGGAGCTCGTACAATTGGCGATAGAAGTCGTCTTTTACCGAGTCATCGCTACGGTTTGTTGGTGCATAGGCAGCGACAACAAACATACAAGTGTTAGTCCCACGCGGCTTCGAAGCTTAGAACGAGCCAGCCACTCGGACCGCACATATCTGGCTACTGATTGGAATCCAGTCAACCAGAGCAGTTTCAGCCCGAGGACTCAGAGCGATACTAACACCGGCTTCGCCGTTGCTCAACGCTGCATCGTCACCGGGTAGGCGCAATGAGAAAGTGGTACTGGTGCTACTGTTGCAGAGTGAGTACAGAGCTCGAGTCTTGCAGGCGGTTCTCCGATAAGCGGCAGATATCGATCGGGAGGGTCTCTAACGTTCGGGCAAGTGCTGCATGTTGACCGAGCTGTAGCCTTGTGCGAACATTGAGGCATGCCAGTCTAAAAGAGGATCGAAGGCTCCAAATGGAATCCGATGAACTGGAATGGGCTGCTTGGCTGGACGTGAGACTGTTTACAGGACAGAAATGACGCTCCTTGTTCACATGTGAGTTGAAACCATAAAATAAAAGCTTGGCAAAACAAGGTGGGGGAGGGCCAATAATTGGGTTCTGAAAACAAGGCGGATCAAAGTGATGCTGGAACTGGACGGTAAGAGGGAAAATGCGGAAGACGCGGAATAAGAAGATGGGAAGGCTTGAGCAGTAGCATACAAACCCATATCCATCCCGCTCGATGAAATAGATAGGGCACCGTTGATTATCCTCTGTCGTGGCCAGAGCGTCAAGAAATCGTTTGACCTAAGTTTTATAGTATTGCGTGAGCAAGATACCGTCAGGTTGCCCAGGCTTTAACAGGGGAACGATTAGCGTTCTCAACCAAAGCCTTTGGTTCAAAAACCTGATCGCAAAGCAGCGGGTTTGGGGTTGGGCTACAAGGAGCTCGTTTTAAAGCATAAGTTGCCACCCTCATTTATACCCCATAACCTGGAGGACCAGTAGGCTGAGTTTGTCTGGCCTCTAATCATTGACCAATCTGGTATGAGTGGCTCTGAACGTGCAAAAGCAGCACCCAGTATAATGGATCACTGAGGCACACAAACCATCGCACCACGGTAAGGTCCAGCCTCGTTGCGATTGGGGTTACCCAATAGCTCGAACAGAATGAGCGTGTCGAATTTATTAGAGATTGGAAACTCCACAATAAAACCATGGATCAATGATGTATTCCGTTAAAATTTGCTAATTTCATGATGATTGATCGAAGAAGTGATTAATTTAACCTAGTTATTTTGCATTAGAATATGCCTTTTGCCGCTAGATTTTACTTGACGATGAAAACGGAGAATTTGTGAAACCCCACTCCAGCTAAACTAACTTCAACAATCAAACATTGCAATTCCTAAGAACAGTTGTCTACCTAGTCATGACCTGGGTTTTCATTTTCATATGTGTAAATGCAACCTCGTGCCAATGGCTGTAGTAAGATAATGGATCATGTAATTCCAGACCAGATTTTGGAATGTCTTTAGCTTAAAGCAGAGGCAAAAATCTGAGAAATTATAATTCGTTTGATACCACACTCTTGCTCTGATGTCTTCTTGCTAGGTGCATTTATCTCAGGGTGCTGTGTCATTTAATGACTATCACAATCATTTTATCCCGGAATAAACCGTCCAGCCAAGAGTTAGAACAAATTTCCTTTATAACATTCTTCTAGTGAAAATAGTACACTTAGTATTTATGAATGGTAATAACCAAAAGTTCAGGAACGTCACATTAAACCTCCTAATGATTACCGGTTTTGCGATTGAAAAAAGCTGAGTTGTATCACCATTGTTTACTTCCAGCGGTCGTTCACGAACTTTAGTAAGTTAGCGGTATGGAATGAATGCAACGAATTCCTACACTAGGAGAAGTTCCTCACCTAAATGAGATGTTGTGCATGGTGTTTATCTGCAGACCGAAACTATGTCAACAGCAGCAAGTATGTCAGACACATTGATTTCCGTTCCCGGGTAAGCTCTGATTGAATAAGTAACGCCTCTTGAAAATGAGACCGGAAATTGCCTGCCAGTCAAGTCCTGCCACTGCTAACCACCTGCTTAATGGACAGTGTAACGCAAGCATAGCAGATTTAAAGACAACATGTCACCTTCATCGGGCTGGTTTAGTAACTGTTGTAGCGAGGGTTCTTGCGAGAAATATTTCTGGGGATTTGCCAACAGAATTTACTGACACCGTTTTATCATACAATTCCCGATTTTAGAGTGGGCCAAAAGCAAGGGAAAATCCAAGGTAAAGCTGGTAACAAAGATCATGGGAACCTTTCAAAAACGCTTTGTTCACTGGCTTCAATTTTTAAGCCAGTCTCTTCTTAGTCGGATACTTCTATTGGTACACTCATTCCCTCTGCTTGCGTTAATTCTAACTCATTAAATTAATCGCCCTTATACCAAATGTATGTATTCTCCTTGTCAGCAATGCAATAGGAACATTCGACGACATCATTGTTTGGAGGTTTCGGTGTAGGGTTTGGCGATTTGATTGACTGCGCGATATGTGGGATGTGAAAAGTGCACCTGCACCGTAAAAATAGAAAAACACGAATTCAGTTCGTGGTGTGATAGCAGATACAATCGGAATAAAACCATTCAATCAACTAGCTGGAAAAAAAATGCTGGTAAATGCCTCATCAAATTCAACAACGGACACTCAAAATTGAAATATCCTCAAATGCTTCGGTATTAAGGTGTTCAATACTCGTTTTTTGCATCAGATAAAAGATGATTACAATGCATCGCAAATGTAACGTGCGTCGTGTGAGGATAGCGAGGAGGTAACCGTTTACTAAACTATCCTCATGGCTTACCATTAAGTTGGCGCATTGCGTGTTCAATCGATCTGTCTTGTTTTCTGTTGTGCTTTGTTTAGGGATTTCCAAGCCAATTAGTTCTGCTTGAGACTACATCGTTTTCCCGAATAACAGTCTCTAGTTTAGCCATAGTAAAATTCATTAAAATCAACTAACATTATAATTGTAGATATACAAATTTCGCTTTGGCGATAAGTAAAGCGACATATAGTGCGAAAAAAGTTTTCTCTTGATTTATTACAACTGACATTATTTGGGGTTTTATTTGTGAACAGATGGCCCAAGGCTTATTGGGAAGCCAATTGTTAACATCACAGCTGCAGGTCAAAAAGCGGTACTGGAATGCGAGGCTCAAGCCAACCCTTCACCAACTGAGACCGCTGTGAGGTGGCGGCGACTACCTTACGCTTTGGCTGGCATTGAAATCAGTAAGCACTTTTACAAGCAAATTGGGGCTGAAGAAGACGAACGAGTGAAGCAACATGAACTACAGGCAACTTCTGTCACGGGTATTCGTTGCAACAAGGTTAGTTCTAAAAAGACTCAAAGAAAAGTTTTAGGGGGCACTTTTGCTTTTGCTTGCGAGCACCATATGCGTTAGAACAGGATCATTGGGGTACTGGTTGTAATGCCCACTACTCAACTCCAAAGTGAGGCAAAAATTTGGGAATCGCCGACACTCTAAGTATCAGTCTAAATATCGCTTGCTTTAAAGCAAAGTTAATCCGCTTTTGAGACATCTATAAGTTAGAACGATATACGAGTTCTAGCAATGTTTACGATTCTAGGTTTTGTGGCAGCAGTCAAAGTCACATGCGCGTCTTTATAAGCTTAGATGGTTTGACATATACATTTACTGCGGCAAGATTTTAATATCCTAAAAGACCAAAGCACCATCATCAAAACTCTTTGTCCAAGTATTATTAATAGCTATAACCAAAGGAATTTAATGGCTTGAAAAAAACCGTATAATTACTCACGCTGTTGGATAGACAACACAGTTTGCTGAAAGGTGAGGAGACGTTACTGCCCTGATGGTTGAAATAACGGACATTGAGCTACAGTCGATACGGTCGAGGATCCTGCGGATGTACTACAACTGGTCTCTTGCGCGATGAACCGCAGCACTGTCGTGTAGGACTTTACAAATTGAGCTCAGAGATGTTTTAAGTAGTACAACAAAAAGCCCAAATTTATAGGTGTTAATAGTATATTGCACTCATCTGTGTTTTAACTTCCGCATCGGAATCAAAATCCCTATGCGTCAGAAGGTTTGTCCACGGGGGCCGAAAAAGTTACTTGATCGTAACCGTTTGATTTGAGGAGCCTTCATCTGAGAATACTATAGTGTGTGTTAGTGTTTCCAGCAAACTACTATAGGTGCTGAAAGCTTAGAAGCTCTGAGGAAACTCGTTTTCACCGGAAAAAACAACAACAAAGCTGGAAGCGGAACATGTCGCTATTTGTAAACACTTAAGATAATAAAGTAAAATACTTCCATAATCTTGCTTTCATCACAGGTGTATCGACAACAACAATAATTCAATCTGTATGGCTTCAAGATACACATTGAAATGAATTAGTCTTAATGCAATGTGGCTTAAAACATACTTTTACAAGACCAATCAGAATTGGAGGCTACTCTGAGCCTTCTCCGTCGTGTTTCAATCATGCACTTAAGGGGGTACAAAACAATAGTTCACAGAGCCAAGTCGCCTTCGTTTTTGACCTTTACCCACAACATTTATGCAATACTGTCAGGTCACTCATAAAGTGTGACATAAGCACCAGGGATGGACATTGAAACATTTTAAAGCAACGATTACACGTCAGGTGTTGCTATGTGTACCGATGGTGAGTGATTTACGTTTATCAAATTGTGTGATTGTATGTGAGTAAGCCAAATTCTCAGAATGCAAGTCTGAACACATAATCTGCATAGAGTACAAGAGAAAACAAAGATTGGTTTGGGTCAAAAGAAATATTTGTGTAAACGGCAGAGGGGTTCACAGCCAGGGGATCAGTGAAAGGGACAAAGCTGACAACATGATTTGTGATTCGTGGGGTACACTGATAGCACAAATAATGCGTAGAGTTTATCTACTCCGGACCCTGTAATCTGGTTGATATTAAAGTGCGGAATGTTAAAATATATCTCGATTTAAATCGATACAGTCACTAGCATTTTAAACATACGTACTCCAAAATCAGGCCTATTACAACCGCGCCAAATAGCTCAAATTTCCTGAGCCTCAAGTAACCACTTTAGCATGACAGCACTTTACATACTTACTTACAAAAGCATAGCAATTTTGTGATTCACGCTTTCTCTACTTTCCCTACCGTAACCCACGTCGTCAGTCAAATTTTTCTGTGCTTGACTTTAGAACTTCCACTGCCATGGTTTTTATTGATTCCTTTTCAATTGTGGGCAAAAGAAATATTTAGGGAGTCGTGCTGAAGTAATTGACAGCGCATTTCTGGGTTTTGTCTGCTAATGTAGCACTTAAACTGGATCTAGAGCGAACAGTGTTTTCCGAAAAAATAGTTACTTATTTCTATTAAAGGAGTAGGAATAAAATTGAAGCTCTGAGTAGGGATAGGATTAACAGCGGAAGAGAACAATGATTATCATAGCATTTTTTGTTGGCGAGCAAGTAATGGTATCATACAGTTTCCGGATCCAAGTTACGTGTGTTGCGCATATGTATGTGGTAGAACAAGCTCGATAAATTTGCCCTGGCAGATGGGGCTACCCTAACAGAAGTGATTTAAGGATCATATTCGTATAAAAAATTTTAATTATCTGACGGACAAATGTAGGTATCATTAATATAATGTTCCTTAACTGTCATTCATGTTTTGCAAGAGAATATACACCCAATAATAATTCATCAAAACGGTTCTTACTTTGGTACGTCCATGAAAATCTTTGAGCAAAATGACCTGTTATTTTATGTAATTTATTTGAAAAATAGCACGGCTCATACTTAAGTGCAATATAACTGGCATCTAGCGGATTATCCATTAGGTTAATGGGATGACCAGCTGGGGATTTCGCTCGTTCTTAATCGCTTCAATAAACCCGCATCCAAATAATCATTTTGATGAAATGTAATGGCACCAGCGTTTCACTAAGCACGCAAACACTAAATATATTTCGGGAGTAAAGCAGGCAGGTGTTTCTAAATGCTACCTATCAAAATGTTTCCTAGGGTATCGAATAAAACATTTTTCCTTAAAGGTAAATTAGACTGCAATACTGCTTATATTATGAGCAAATCCGACTTGTGTGTTTTCAAATTGGAATGTCTAACTGTCAGCGATTTTACCAATACATTAATTGAACCGGTTGGATATAAGCTCCAGTGAAATGTGATTAGATACTTACAGAGAAACAGAAAATATTCAGCCACGGTTTTAGTTCAATACAGAGAGTTTTCATTAACCTCCATGCTCTCTTGAAACACGTCACCGTCATCATTAACGTCATATTATGCGATCGCATTTAAAACTTCGTGCGACACTTATGAACACTTGTAAGCCAACACGTCCTTACAAGGCCACGCCAACACGCAATTTTAGTTTTCACTCACTAGCGACTCTAGTCCTGGTGATACTTCTGCATCTTAAAATTAGTAATTTAAACGATGTAGCTTAATTGTGCTATATGATTTTAATTAAAATTCTTGCATCCTTCGTACCACACTAATGTACTACATGCGACTCTACAGGTTCACGATGGCTAACGCTTAACACAACGGTTAATGAGCGATTGGAGGGTAAGCTGAAGTACGCGGTTTGTGATTGGATGGCGACGCACAATCTCAATACTGATTGTGATTCTCATTGAAGCGAACCACAGCCAACTCGGTCAATAGGGCTTTGGCAGAAGTAAATGGTAATGGATGTTGTTCGCCCGAAAACGCTGCGGACCACGACATGCTTCAACCTTGATTATCTCATCAGGATCAGGCGTTAGGCCCTGAAAACGGGACCATGTGAGTACTAGTTGGGAACTCTACCTCTTCAGACGCCTGACCACCACGGATGACGCGCGGTTGTAATGCAAAGCGTTAATTTAATGTGAATCGCCATTCTCATTTGGCTGAACTCTAGTCAAGTCGATGCCTGAGATTGGAACTGCTGAAGTGAGAAGATATCAAGTCTTGCTCGCCCGAAAACACTTCGGACCACAACATGTTGCAAGCTTGATTATCACATCATGATGGGAGTGCACATCTACAATGCAGGACCATTTGGATTCCAGTTGAGACGTTTAGCTATTTCACAGCCAGGCCATGACGGGCAACGCTTGGCACAACGGTTAATAACGATTGGCCAGTCATTTTGAAGTACTTGTGTTTTAAATTACGCTTTGTGTGTCTGCATTACGAAGCATCAGCTCAACATGGACCGTTATTTGTATTAGAGTGATACTTGGCCAATATTCATGTTCTTCAACCTCGATCCCAATAATAGAATTGACCAAAGTTCGCTGCGATGCGAATAAGAGCCCATATTGAGATTACGCGTCGCAGTCCAAATAAACAAAAAGTATTGCAAAATTAGCTATTATTATTGATACAGGTGTGTTAGTTCGTGTGTTGTGCTTATGGATATATTATGCCACCTTGGAAGGTTGGAACAAATATTACTGATGTCACGGGATAAGATTGTAGTCTAAGGTCTCTAACTTCTGCGTGATACTTCTCACCCGTATATAGGTGATAAAATGATTTTGCTTGTCTAGTTTACTAGCTGTTTTTCGACTGTCGGCGGCGCAGCGTTGATGGCTTTTGTGATGCAACTGACGCATTAATTTTAATAACCCACGTTAAACAACAAAAAGACAGCCCTGGTATTTCCCATACTAAGTAGTATAGGGAAATTAGTATAAGGTATAAATTAGCGAGTGATGAAGCAAGAGCTGTTGGAAAGGCGAAGGCCTACGTCCATGGATTGGTGCCAGGTGTTAACAGTGTGTGCGGGATATTCAACCGCCTGTTCTTGGTCGCTGTTTTTATTGAATTAACTTGTCCTCTGTAATATGTGTTGCAGTTCACACTCAGATTTCAAAGTATTAGTGAAATAAATGAAGAGTACTTGGAGTAAGAAATGTACATTAATTATTGATCACTGACAAAAAGAACCAACTAATCGGTTGAATTGTGTTAATCCCACTGCTTTAAGGGTAACTGGCACAGCGGCTTCAAGTACTTTGTCAAGTGTTGGAGAATCAATCCATATACACTCACCAGCTCTCTAACCATATACGATCTTGGACCAAGCGATGTTGGACGATACCAATGTTACATGGACAATGCAGTCGGATCCCCCGCGGTGCGCATTATCGACCTTCTATATCCGTGTGAGTAACACAGTATCTTTAGTATTCCACCATCTGAACGACTTTCACTTAAATGCGGTCCAGTGATCCAACAGCCAGGCACAAATCAAATCGGGATATGTTTAAATTTTGAGTTAAAAGAAGGTCGATTTGTTAAATTTGCCCAGTTTAGCACAGTATATGCAAACGGATCACAGTGTGCTGAACACTGCGAGGACCACTGACTATACCTTGCACATGAGTACATCAAAACTTTTGCCCTAACGGTTTCTAAATGCTATTCGTACATAGCCTCTGCCAGTGGATGCTGTGCATTAAGAGGTCAACTCAGTGCTCTGCTTCGCTCGCAACTTGCTTGTCATTGGAGGATTAGACGCGAAATATCGCAATTGTCTTGTGAATTACGATTTTCCGACACTGCCCCACATGGCCTAATGGCATAGGCTGCTGGTGGTCATGAGTTCAAATCCGGATGGTTGTCCACAAATGTTTGAAATTAAAGTCCAGTAATTTTCTGGGCGTGTGGAAGACTGATTGCAGAGCTACTGCGACGAACTAAATGAAATACGTCAAAACCACCCACTTATGGGTAAATTTGATATACACCGAAGACTGGAATTTTACAGTTCCACGTCTCTAGGTATATAACGTTCTCCGATAAGAATTAATTAGCATGACGGTAAAAGTGTCCGAATAGTTGAGATAACTTAACGGCGCACCGATTCTCTTTTAACTATGAAGTCGCTTTTATACTTTAGGCTCATGTTTGTCATATGCGTTAATTGAGATTTGGGAAACGAAACCACAGATTCCTAACCTTTAACCTCTATCTCGGTGCATCATCTGTTCCGAGTAGGAAGCTCTTAACGACGCTTTGTTAAACGTTGTAAGGTGACTGTTTTGCTAACATGCATGGTATTAGTGGAACACTATTCTTTCCGAAGGAAGCACTTTGGATATATGCAAACAATTTCACACCACGCATGAAAAACTCATAAGGGTTATAACGTGAAGTGAGGCACACGGTCAAGTCTACAGGGTACCTCACTAAGGGGGATTCGGGTTTTGGAACTGCTGATTACGCTTATACATATTAATCGTTTTAAAAAGCTGAATGCTCAGTGGCATTTCACCTGTTCACTCTCACATCATATTACTATTGGTTGCATGAAAATGACGTCGGAAAATGGGACATACTCTTATAAATAATTTATTAGAACATTGTCCAACCAAGGAGCAACAACAGTCCCTGATCTTTTAAGGGTGAGATGCAACCGATTATTTTTGCTTTCTATAAAAACCTTTTGGCACAAAGGTGCTAGTCGTTTTACTATCATTCAGTTGCTCGCTGGTCACATGCTCTAGAATAAACATTAAATCGGATGGAATGTAGAGCACCATACGAAAGCAGTGAAACTTATCTTGGAAACTTTCGAGCGCTCCCTTACCTGGTAATCCGACTAATTCCCCCAACTTAAAGTTAAAACAACTTTGTAAGTAGACCCGGACAACGGCTGTTTTACAGGCTTATACACTTATTTGGTTAATAAAATTTAGTACCGAAAACTCTCTAATGCACTGGTCACTTACCCCCGATTAGTCTCTGCTTGCTAATCAATAGAAAAAAGTTAATTAGTGACGCTTTTATGCTCATAAGTTTGTTATTAATTTTGTCTAGCGATAGCTTGATGACCCAATCTTCCTACATAAGTTTACCTCTGTAAAAACCTACTTCACCCCCTGGGGGTAATTAATCTCAGATAGAGAAACACTGGGACTGTGGAATGTGGTCGTCAGCCTGATTAAGGCAAGACGAAATGGCCGACGAACTCAGTCTGATAAAATAGAGGACTTCAGTCGTTTAATTGTAGAAACCTCAGAAGAACGAAACCGGCAAGTAGCGCCCAGTTGGTTGATTATCATAAATGATTCCCATGAGTTTTCACTTATGGGGCTAACATATATGTGCCGCGGGATCGAACCAGCGGACAACCTCCCATCATTCGCGACCAGGTTGAGCGGAACATACTACGTAATTTATGTGAACACTCATGCCAGTCAGACGACATGCATCATACCGCAATTACATTGAAACAAATAAATGTAAGAGGAGGCAACTTGAACAACTAGCCAATCCAGCCTGGATTGCAACAAATTTCTAACTGTGCAAATTTATAAGCTCAGCATTGTGCTAACAATCTAATATATTGAAGGAGACACTATCGTAACCTCCTTCATTTTGATCTCATTTGAGTAGTAGCGTTAGCAACCATTGTTCTTAGTGTTATCAGTTGCCATCCATTCCTGTGTTCCACGTCCACATTACAGTACTGCGCTGTGAATTTCTCAAGACATGCTATTTCAGCTAAAGTCGAGGAGAAGCATTGCAACCAACCTTGCTCGTTCCTCAGAACGTAACTGCTGAGCTTCCACAAAGGCGGTGCGAACTAAAGTTCGTTTGTAGTTCAAGGTTAGCAACTGGTGAAAGCATGGTCCTTTCTTGTTAACTTAGGCTTTTGTTACACAAATTGAATATGTGTGTCGTGTGGGTTTCTTTTAAGGCTAGCTTTCAGTAAATGGAAGACACCAGCAGACTCGTTTACAACTGTGAATTCGATCACGGAGTGGCGGTACTACACGCACTGCTTGTTCAACTGTCTACAACAACAAAAGTGTCATCTATGTGGCCACCATCAGAATGCACGTTTTACATTTGAGAATGTGGCTCGGTGTTTTCCAGGTGGCACTGAACGATATTTGATAGGACCAAGTCCAAAGGGACTGTGCATAGTGACACCATTAATGCGTCAATTCAGGGAACCGTTAGAAGTGTACGAAAATTCCTTCGAGTAAAACCGCAGTAGTGAATTCTGAAACTATAATGCAACCTTGCTGGCACGTCACCTATTATTCTTAGAGTATGTGATAAAGGAACAGCGGTGACTAATGCACAAATATTAAACGAAACCATGCGCTTCTCTTCTACTTTCAAATCATGTATTTTGTTGTTAAAACCTAACACAATTCTGTAGCATTATCCTGTTATTACACCAATTAGTTTCGATGTGTACGGTTAACAGTCGTGCCAAGTTTGGATACGGTGCGACGACCATTGAAACGACTTGACGCAGAGGGAGGACTTCTTATTAGTCCTACGTACGTCCTACGTTCCACGAAAGCAAGGCTGTAATAATTTTCGTGTCAAGCAGTCCGGTCTTCATCAGCATTTATAATTCACGAACTAGCTTTCTTTCTACTTGTTCGTTGCTATCACAGCCAAACACTTTGCGAACGAAGTAGCTCATATCCTTAGAATTACATAGACTTTCGGAAAATAATCATACTTTTCCGCTGAAAGTACCATGTTCCCTTGTCAGATCCCATTAGTGTCACAGTTGCAATGCCCCATAATTTAATCAGGGACTCCCGGTGGTATTTGGTTAAAACCTAACAATTTCACATTCCATTAACAAAACATTCTTAGTCTTATCCACAGCGTTAACCATTCAATCAACCACTGACGTCATCAGTGGAAAGTGACTGTCTGGACAAGAGCTTTTATAAGGTTGGGAGGTCACTGTGAGGCACCCGTTGGGTGAAAGGATTGAGAAGCACAACCGAGGTCATTCTCCTTCAGTAGTGCGACTTATGCCTGTGCTAGCTTTTCCACAAGCGTACGCTTAGATCAACACCTTATTTACCACCGAGGCAAAGTAATGAGATTTTCAGCCGATACTGTCGTCATCAACTGGACGGACTTCAAATGCACAACCTGCAGCAAAAGCTTAAAAGCAAGCATGCTTTGTCTTAGCAACGCAGTCAAACCACTCCGGATGTTTGCAATGCAGAGGGCCTGACGCGGCTATTCAACCACCAGTGCGATTGGTCTACCATGGAGGATGAGAGACTTCTGGCCTGCGCCACGGATTTGGCACTGTCCGCCGCCAATCTTCCACAGCTTCTCAGTCTGCTCCGCATCCGATTTCCCCGCCGATCAAATGACTGCTTTAAGAAACCATTAGATGATCTCAGTTGGGACACCACGGGAGCAAGGGAACGCTTCGATAACTGCTCAGCTATTTCAGTTATGCGCGCCACCTCACCATCCCTTCTTCTCACTCAGTTCTCAAGTTCCCCTTAATATCCTCCAGCCGATGAGGTCCACCCACCACTCCATTTGAACCGCACAGGTAAGCTTTTGCAGGTAAATTTTCAGAGTGGCCATCAAGACAACTATAAAAACAGGCTGAATGTCAGCACACACAGCTCAAGTTTGCCTGAAAAAGGCAGGCGACAGCCCGCTGCTCCATCACCCAGCCTATCGTTATCCTAAGGCTCACCATACGGAATCATTCAGGGGGTCGATTTTGCTGATCATAAGCCGAAAACGAGTCAAAGATGGCTGCAGACACATGACGCCTTGATACGGAGGCCACAGGTGAACAAACTGCTTTTCAACATCCTCTGGCGGAGGCGAGAGGAAAACTTGCTATACTTATCTCACAAACTGAACACCGTGCAATAACCTTGCAAACAATTGTTGAAGCTCTGCTAACGGCGCACTCTCGGCCGGCAGCTTTTGGTAAAGCCCGGGAAATAATGTGGTTAACTCTATGCCCTCACACATGGAGACCCAGTACTAGCAGACTACGAGCATTTCCAGTGTCCCACAACCGTCAGCGACGGCGTCTTCAATACGGCTACATACTAATCCTCTACCATCTACGAAGAAAAGACACTGCGCGACAATAAACGATGGTCGTTGGAAGACTACTTCCATGTCGGATGAAATGGTGATACTGGGCTTCAACGAGTTCTAATAGGATGTGTTATCGCAATTAACCGTACCTGATAACCTGGCACTACATGAGAGCGCGAACATAAACTGGGATCTCGTAAAAGCTATACATATTGAAGAAACGACTGCTGCTCTACGAACAATGGATGGATCTGCCCCTGGGTTAGACTGCATCGCAACAAACGGTATCAGTGGGATGAATCCATGATTCAGTAGGTCTTTC